ATTGTTAATAAATAAAAAATAAAAGATGGTGTCATGGATGTGGCGAAAATGCAATGCTAATATACTCTTGGAGGGAATGTAAATTAGTACATCCTTTATGCAAAACCGTATGGAAATTCCTAAAACAACTAAAAGTAGACTAACAATTTGATCCAGCAATACCACTATTTGGTATCTACCCAAAGAAAAATAAGTCAATATATCAAAAAGACACCCACACTCAACTGTTTATTGCAGCACAATTCACAATAGCAAAGATGTAGAACCAACCTAAGTGCCCATCAACTGATGAGTGAACAAAGAAAATGTAATATATTTTTACCATGGGAGTTCTGCTCAACTATGAAAAGGTAGGAAATAATGTCTTTTGCAGCAACTTGCAGGGAGCTAGAGATCATTATCCTGAGTGAAGTATCTCAGCAATGGAAAAACAAATACCATAGGTTCTCACCTACAAGTGGGAGCTAAACGATGGGATATATGGTCATAAATTGGTATAATGCATATTGGAAACTAAGAAAAAGAAGAGTGGGATGCGAGGGCAGGATCAAAAATTACTTCTTGGGTACAATGAACACTATTCTGGTGAAGAGTACACTAATATCCCTGATTTTACCACTATACAATTCATCCATGTAACAAAAAGCACTTGTATCCCTTAAATATATTGAAAGAATAATAATAATAACAATGATGATGAAGAAATTCTGAAACCAAAGGATTTGTTTCAAGATGATTAGCTGTCATAAACCATCAAACTAGATAGAGAAGAAAGCGGGAATTCTTAAATGGTAGTTTTTCTAGTTAAATCATACCACAGACATTGTCTCTTTTATACACACACACACACACACACACACACACACACACACACACACACACATTCAAATAAAAGTTTTTTTTATTTTATTAGAGCAACCATCCCATGGAAATATATATATATATATGTTTTTATTATTTCATAGAAAATGTCTTTGGATAACTAAAAAACTAGAAAGCTCATCAAGAAGACAGAAAAATATGTTTGAAAACAGTTGCATGACAAATTATATTGTAGGAAGTTGCATGCACTATTATGTAGGAAATTTATCATAATTTTATTTTAAATTCTTATTTCTATAAAGTCAAGCTGATATGTGCTACTTGTGATTCTCAGGGTCCAGAGACAGGAGTAGCTGATAAAACTTCATGCTAAAGTCACTCTGCACAAACTGGTTTTATTGTCAGATACATTATGCTAGCTTGAAAGTTTCTGCAAAAGTTTTTTATTGCATGAAATATAAATTCTGTAGCTCCTTATTATTAACTTTTTAGCAAATCTCTTCAGACTGAATATAGATGGTTGATAGATGAATCTTGATACAGATATAGATGATCTATGTAGATATATATACATGTTTGTGCATTGTCAACATTTAATGAGCACTTAGACTATAGGCTAGATGTTATTCGATGAACAAGAGGTATTGTGGTAAACAAGACAAAGCCTATTCCCTCATAGAGCTTTTATTCTATTCAGGGAAGAAGACAAAAAATATATAAACAAATAAATTAAAAGATTGGAGTGGTAAAGGTGCTACTTTAGTTAATGTGGACAGGGAATTAGTATAAGAAGGTAACATTTGAACATAAGCCTGTAAGTTGAAAAAGATTCAGTCGCATGAATATCTTAGGAAAGAGTGATTTTGAAAAGGAGTAATAAACAATATAGAATGCAGTTACAGATATCATTGCATTGAAGAATCTTTAACTGCCAAAATGTTTTCAAATTCTTTAAGTGAATATACAGAGTCAAATTTACTCTTAATTCTGTCTTTTAAGAAAAACACATCCTCAGGAAATGATTATAAAATTCTCAGTAAAACCTATTGCTTTCACTTTCCACTGTGATTTTGTAGCAGACACTTTGATATACAACTCCTACCCTCTATGGCCTCCTTCCCGGGTTGCCCTTTTGCCCCGGTTTTGGCCGTTCCATTTTCATTGGAGGAAGGTTGAAGGGGGTTTCGGTTTTCAAAAAAAAGAGCTAGAAGCCTTTTTTTTTTTTTTTTTTTTTTTTTTTTTTTTGTCTGAATAAGCAGCCTCTGCTCCTTTGCTCTGTGCTCTTTCTTAGGCAGATAACTTAAGCTCCAAGAAGCATGAGAAAAAGCCAAGAGAATCACAGGGATTCTGAATATTACTGGTTGAAGAATCATCAGCAGTAGTTGAAGACCATTAGATTTCATATTATACGTAGAAAAAGAAACCTTTATTTAAGCCATTATTACTTGTATATTCTATTATTTGCAACTGAAAATGTTACTAATTAATGCTAACATGTTCTAGACTCTGGCCTTGATTACTTTCTTATGACTTCTTTTCATGCTTTTTGGTTATGCCCTCACTTACATCAAACAATTTCTTCTTCAGTGGTAAGGCACTAAAGGCACTAATATTTTCTCAGGGGAAAATATTTAACTTTGTGCTTTTCCTGCATACCCAGATTTGGTGGTTAGTGCTGCTTCCCTATGAATAATTTCTAAACTTTTATTTGTTAAACTGTTCTCGTCATGTTCTTTATTTCTACAAAGAAAAAAAGTATAATTCTTAACTTTTTTTTATATGTATAGCATTGATTAACTCTTAGAATTGATACATACAGATAATACACATCATTTCTGAAAGTATTAGAGATTAGAAAATTGGAGCTGGGAGAAACCTTCCTCCAGAATTCATGAAATAGTGCTTTAGGATGGGTTTCTCAATGTTTTAGGGATGATTCTGCTTCACACAACTTGTTGCTCAGGAAGGATGGTTGAGTGTAGAAAGCAAAGAGGGAGGTGAGTCATTTTTTCCCTCCCTATACTGAATAAATAAGTCATTGAATTTAGCATCTTGATTTGGTTTTCTCAAAGCATTTACTTTCTTAGAGGTTTTTTTTTATATTTACATTTTAAAATAAAATAAAATAACCAATTACATTAACAAACATATCCACTTCATCTGTTATATTATTTAGAAGGAATTGAATATCATCCCAGTTTTATCTTATATAAGCATTTTATGTTTCTTCTCTATGTAGATTATTATAAACAAGGGTTACTAAAATTAAATTTTAAACAAATTTCTGTGTTTAAATTTGCTAGATAAAGTAAGAAGGTACCCAAGGGTGAGATAATAATACATTTGTGAGTCAGAAATCTGAAGGTTAACCTTTTTTCTTTTTTTGTTTTTAACCTCAAATGGTTTTAGCCTCTGTTTAACTTGTGTCAAACATGGCTATTTTACTTGTCTTCTACCAGATACTCATTTAATGACTTACTTATTTTGAACCTAGAAAAAGTCTGTACCAGTCTCTGATACACTCGCTTCTTTATGCATTTTACAATCTAGCTGAGTGAATAAACTATTTGTGAGTCAGTCTATGCTATGTTTCTTGAGTGCTATTTACCAAAATAACTATAGGAAATCATAAAGATGCTCCCAGTCATAAAACTTTCATGGAGAGAATATGTCTTGAGCATTGACCTCAGCATTTTTGAAATCATTAAGAGTATGGATTCTACAGTGAAATCATTCCTGTCCACATTTCAGCTCATCTGGAGCATATGCCTATATATCTGTAGACACAACAATACCTATTTTATGGGGATGAAGAAAGACTTAAAGAAGTTAATATCTGCAAGGTCTTAGAACAGTGTCTCTTACATTGTATATGCTTAAAAATGCGACCTATCATTTTAGTAGGTGCAAAGGTATGGTGAGAATCCCAAGGAAAACCATCCCAAACAAGGGATATCTGCCAGAGGACATATCTTCAAGAAGACTTAGCTGACCTATTATGTTACTTTCCTAGGGATGCCACAACTCATTACCACAAACTGTGTGACTTGACAAAAATAGACATTCATTCCTTTCACAGTTAGGGAGACCATAAGTCCTAAATCAAGGCATCAACAAGGCCACACTCCCTCCAAAGGCAGGAGGGGAAAATGTTCCCTTGGTTCTTCTCATTGCTGGTGGCTCCTGACATTCCTTGGCTTGGGTAACTCCAATCTCTGTACCTATCTTCCATAGCCTTCTCTGTGTCTTCTCTCCTTCTTTCTTCTTCTAAGAACACTTGCCATTGGATTTAGTGTTCACCTTAATCCAGAATGACCTCATCTCAAGATCTTTAACTTAATTTGCATCTGCAAAGACTCTTTTTCCAAATAAGTTCACAATCATAGGTTGTAGGTAGAATCTTTTAGGAAGCCACAGTTCAACATAAAATACTTAGTTTTGGCATTAGAAAGTACTTAAAGAGGAACTTTGGAATAGAACTAGAAAATAAGAAGCTGCTTCCAATCCCCAAGCACAGGTTTCTAATTTATTTTATAGCTATTGGTAAGCCATTGAAAATTTGAGTGATGAGATAAGGACTGTGATCTAGAAAGATGAATCCAGTGGCAGAGTGCATAATTTGCTGATTAGGGAGGACACTGGAGACAAAAAACAGTCAGTAGGTAAGTATGGAAGCCCACAGAGAAATTAAGACCTAGTCCAGTGTCATGATGCTGGAAATCATAAAAATAGCATGAAGCACATACTTTAAAAACTTAAGGAAAAACTGATTTGAGTGCTTAAGAATATGAGATAAGGTAAGGACATCTCACAGAATTAAGTCAAGAAAGAAAGTTATTTGGAGGATTAATTGTTTGTGAGACATATTGAGTTTGTTTTGGAGATTCAGGACTATATCTCAGGAAATAATAAGAAATTTAGATATAGATTTATTCCTATGATAATGTTACTTAAAACAATGTTTTTAAGAGTTTATAGCCAAAGGCTTTGATTGACTCTTACCAGAGATGGTCCTTAAAATACCACATATGGTAATGTTGCTATCTGGGAAACTAACTAGCAAAGTAAGAAAACCATAATTTAACTCTTATTCAACCATTCAGCCAAAAGTTGTCCATACAATAAATAGAACAATACAATAAATACAATAAATTGTCTATACAATAAATAGAACTCACCTTCCTTTCCATATTTAGAAGACAGATGTCCTAACTTTGTTCAATTGGTTTTGTTTCTGCATCATAATTACTTCAGGGACTGAGGTATCTGGTTATTTAGGCAAAAGCATTCTACCAACATTTTGGGTCATTTCAATCCATCATCTTGATATTTGTCAAGCCTAACCAAAAATAACAACAACAACAAAATGTTTTCTTTTCTTTTCACCAACATACTTGTTCTTTGTTTTTTTGGAGATAGAAGATATGATATGTCCTATTAATATGCAGCTGAAACCAACTTTAGAACCCTTCTCAATATTAATAGCATAAAGATACTTTGCCAATAGAGCAATTCTTCTTTAAATAAAGACAATCCACTCTCCCATCTACCACATTGTTATTACAAGCTATTATATCAGAGACCAAAAAAAAAAAAAATAGTATGTAGTTTATATAGAGGAATGGCACATAAATAATAAATACCAAACAAATAATATATTGATAACTAAAATAATGTTAATGAGTTGGCAAAAGAGGGGAAAGGAAACTCGAGTGAAGATAAGCAAAAAGAGATAGAGATGTAGGAAGTTTTGCATTAAGGACTTACCAACAAGTTTATGGTCAGAAAAGACTGTCTCCAAATCAGTGTTTCTCAAAGTGTAATTCTTGGGCCATCACTACAAAATTCAACTTAGGGACTTGGTAAAAAAAAAAGCAGACATCTAGATCCTGTTGCTGCTGCTATTGCTGCTGCTGATGAAGCAGCATCTGCTTTGCAACTGTAGAAACATTCCTCTGAAGCCCCTGAGAAGTCAGCAAAGAAGGAACCTGGGTTACTTTACAGTCAACAGTTGCATGAAATAGGGAGAACAGTTACAGCCTGTCCTCTTCTCAGGTTTTTCTCCATTGAAGAGAAACTTAACCTAATAGACAGCAAGAATCTCCTTTAAGACCACAGTCATCTTCAGTGAGAGTTGAATCGCATTTTCCTGCAGAGGCAACCAACTCATCCTAATATGGCTTTCCAGTCCTCCACAGCTCATCTGAAGTCTGAAATATCTTCAGCAGGTAGGAATTTTAACTCTTTTACAGCAAAAGGAGATAAGCAATTGTTAAAATAAATATGTGTTGTCTTAGGCAAACATTCGTTGTTAAATCATTTTGTCAATGTGTGAATTGACGGGCTGGGACAGCGATCTGGAAGGCAATGGGGGACTAACTCAGCAGGCAGGACAGGGAGAAAATGGGCATTAGAATGAGACATAGATTCAATTCTGGACTTCTATGATATGGAAAAAAATACTCATTCTTTTGAACCCTTAGTTTCCCAACCTATAAAATATAGATTATGATCGCTAATATTAGGGTTGCTGCAAGAATTAAATGTGTCAATATTGTTCTGGCACAATATAGGTCTCAGTGAAAAATGTTCCTTTTTTCTTTCCTAGATTTTGGGAATGTTTTATTTTTAATGAAGACAAATGGTTCAGATGGTAGAGAAAAATATAATAAAATTATACTTTTAAATCTTCTCATTTTGCTCAAGATGTGCCATATATCTCCAACATGGAAAGCCACAAGTAGGGAAGATATGACTGACACTGTAAATATGACCTTCTCCCTTACATTAGCATTATGACCTGGCTGTTGTGTATTACCCAGCAGGAAACATGGACTAGCCAATTTTAGGAGTAAAGTCATGATTTGGGTGTTTGTTTGTTTGTTTGTTTTTAAGACTAACATCACCAATTTTCTTATTCCTGTCCCACTTACTTTTTGATCTCCTAACTTTAAAATTTTGCTAGGATATCTGATTAAACTCTTTTCCCTGTACTCAGATGAACTGAATTCCTTGCCCCTTCTCCTCAGTTTTAGTAACTACACTCTCCATCTACACAGCTCCTCCCTCAAATTTAGGAGAAAGTGGTATTGGTATCAACTGAAATACCTTACAGATCAAATTCTATCAATTCTATCAATAAATTGAATTTTAGCAATGAATAAGTAGTATTTTTTCTCAGAATTTGAAAGCCTGACATATTTATCTCATGATTTATAATTTATTTTTAACAAGGATGATTTTATGGAGAGAAGGGTTAGGCTGTGGAGTAGGTTAGTAGGTTAAAAATGCAGATGTTTTTGTATATTGATTGGGATGTCTAGCTTTTCCCCATGCTCCTGGCCACATACAGTAGTTGAAATAAAATGTGTTCCTACTTGAGGTCATTAAATCAAATACACATTAAAAACTGGGCTCAGCTGCCTGTGAATATAATCTTTCAAAATGTATCAAATGTATGTAAGGGTGGTTTCTAATGTTCTTATATGTGGTTAGGCCATAATTTTAAAATATATATTGTGGTCAACCATTGGCCAACTTAGCCATAAACGAAAAAGGCATAGGGCTATGAAAGTTTATAATAGGGAACATTGTTCTAATTTGGGAGTTATACGAGACTTCCTGCAAAGTGTTGATTGAGCAGAAATCTGAAATGTGAGTCCACTAAGATATGGACCTCTTTCCCTATCCAAGCTTTCCATAGAGAAAAATCAGCATGCACGATGATCCTGAGATGTAAAGGGGCATAATACATTCTAATTGACCTGGGAGAAGTTGGACAGGGGAGTAATAACTGGGTGCTAATGCTGGAGAGACAGGCAAGGACTAGTATACGAAGCCTTGCAAACCATATTTATAGATTTTGGTTTTAAGAGCAAGGTAAATCATAGGAAGAGTTTTTTTTTTTTTTTCAGCATATTATGGGAGTACAAATGTTGCCTTTACCCTACCCAAGTCAGAGCATGAAGCATGTGCATCCCCCAGATGGTGTGCACCATACCTATTAGGTGTAAATATACCCATCCCTTCCTCCCTCCTCCCCCCTCCCACCTCTCCCACACCCAGTGAATGTTAGTACTATATGGACACATAAGTGTTGATCAGCTAATATCAATTTGATGGTGAGTATATGTGCTTGTTTTTCCATTCTCGTGATCCTTCACTTAGTAGAATGGGCTCCAGCTCTATCCAGGATAATACAAAAGGTGCTAGGTCACCATTAATTTTTGTGGTAGATTAGAACTCCATGGTATGCATATACCACATTTTATCAATCCACTCATGTATTGATGGGCACTTAAGTTGATTCCACAACTTTGCAATTGTGAATTGTGCTGCTATAAGCATTTGACTGAAGATGTCTTTTTTATAGAATATATTTTTTCCTTTGGGTAGATACCCAGTAGTGGGATTGCTGGATCAAATGGTAGTTCTACTTTTAGCTCTTTGAGGTATCTCCATATTACTTTCCACAGAGGTTGTACTAGTTTGCAGTCACACCAGCACTGTATGAGTGTTCCTATCTCTTTGCACCCACACCAACATTTATTGTTTTGGGACTGTTTGATAAAAGCCTTTCTCACTGGAGTTAAGTGGTATCTCATTGTGGTTTTGATTTGCATTTCCCTGATGATTAGAGATGTTGAGCATTTTTACATATATTTGTTGGCCATTAGCCTGTCTTCTTTTGAAAAGTTTCTGTTCATGTCCTTTTCCCACTTTTAATGGTGCTGTTTGATTTTTTCTTGCTGATTTTCTTCCTGAGTTCTGTGTAGCTTCTAGTTATCAGCCCTTTATTGGATGTGTAGCATGCAAATATTTTCTCCCATTCTGTAAGTTGTCTGTTTGCTCTTGTGATAGTTTCCTTGGCTGTGCAGAAGTATTTTAATTTGTTCAGGTCCCATTTATTTATTTTTGTTGTTGCTGCTGTTGCCTTTGGGGTCTTGTTCATAAATTCTTTCCCTAGGCCAATGTCTATAAGAGTCTTTATAACACTTTCTTCTAGAATATTCATAGTTTCACACTTTAGGTTTAAGTCTATTATCCACCATGAATTGATTTTTGTGAGAGGTGCATATCTTGTTTCAGTGTTCTACATGTTGCTCTCCAATTTTTCCATCACCATGTATTGAATAAGGATTCTTTTCCCCAGTGTATGTTTTTGTTTGCTTTGTCAAAGATTAGATGGCCATATGAGGATGGTTTTATATCTGGGTACTCAGTTCTGTTCCACTAATCTCTGTTCTTGTGCCAATACCTTGAAGTTGTATGTACTATAGCTTTGTTGTATAGCTTGAAATAATGTAAATTGAAGCCTTTCAATTTGTTCTTTTTGCTTAAGATTGCTTTGGCTATATGGGGTCTTCTCTGGTTATGAAGTGCAGAACTAGTTTTTCTAGATCTGCGAAAAATGATATTAGTATTTTAATAGGGATTTTGTTGAATCTGTACATCACTTTGAGTAGTATAGACATTTTGACAATGTTGATCCTGCTGACCCATGAGCATGTATAGTTTTCGACTCTTTTATGTCCTCTTCTATTTCCTTCCTCCATGTTTCATAGTTCTCCCTGTAGAGATGTCCTTTACCTTCTTACTTAAATACATTCCTAGGTATTTTATTTTCTTTGTTGCTATTGTGAGGAGTATTGAGTCTTTGATTTGGTTCTCAGTTTGGCTGTTGTTGGCATATAGGAATGCTACTGATTTGTATACATTGATTTTGTAACCTGAGACTTTGCTGAATTTGTTTATCCATTCCAGTAGTCTCATGGCAGAATCTTTGGGGTTTTCTAGATATAAGATCATATTGTGAGCAAAGAGCAATAGTTTGACCTCTTCTGCCTCCATTTAGATACCCTTGATTTCCTTCTCTTGTCAGATTGCTCTGGCTAGGACTTCCAGCTCTATGTTGAATAGAAGCAGTGATAGAGGGCAACCTTGTCTGGTTATAGTTCTAAGCAGTAATGCTTTTAAGTTTTCCCTGTTCAGTGTGATGTTGGCTGTGGGTTTGTCATATATGGCTTGTATCATTTTTAGGTAAGTCCTGTCTATGCCTATTTTCTTAAATGTTCTTATCATAAAAGGGTGGTGAAGTTTGTTAAATGTTTTTTCGGCATCTATTGAAAGGATCATATGGTCTTTATTTTTACTTCCATTTATGTGTTGAATTACTTTTATAAATTTGCATGTGTTGAACCATCTCTGCATCTCTTGAATGAAGCCCACTTGGTTGTGATGGATTATTTTTTTTATAAGCATCTGAATTTGGTTTGGTAGGATTTTGTTGAAAATTTTTGCATCTATATTTATAAGGAATATTGATCTGTAGTTTTCCTTTTTTTGTTGTGTCCTTTCCTGGTTTTGGTATTAGGGTGATGTTGGCTTCATAAAATGTGTTGAGGCAAATTCTTTTCTTCTTGATGTTGTGGAGTAATTTCTGTAGGTTAGTCACCAGTTCTTTGTAAGTCTGGTAAAATTCAGTTGTGAAACTATCTGGTCTGGGACTTTTCTTTTTAGGAGGGTTTTTTATTACTGCTTCAATTTGGGTACTTGATATTTGTCTGTTCAGGAATTTTATTTCTTCCTGATTGAACCTAAAGAGGCTGTGTGTTTCTAGAAATTTGTCCATTTCCTTCATGTTTTAAAATTTATGTGCATAGAGATTTTTATAGTATTCATAGATGATATTTTGTATTTCTGTGGTATCGGTTGTAATTCCTCATTTTTCATTCCTGATTTAGCTTATTAGAGTACTTTCCTTTCTGCTTCTCATTAACCTAGCAAGATGCATGTCAAGTTTGTTTATTTTTTCAAAGAAAAAATAATCTTCCATATACTTTAATTAATCTTCCATATAGATTTTTTGTTATTGATTTCATTTAGTTGCTGCTCTGATCTTTGTTATTTCCTTTTTTCTGCAGGGTTTGGGGTTGGTTTTCTGACCCTTTTCCAGTTCGTTGAG